CAACCATGCCACGTTCAAAGGCACTCAAATCACCTTTCTTCCCCATACTGATGTTCGGTACATGCCTAAATGCACTGAGTTGCCGCCATGTGATTGGCTGATTAGAAATTAAGTGTTAACGAGCAGTTGGACAGGTGTACCTAAAAAAGTGGCCGGTGAGTGTATTTAATGGATCATTGGTACCGCTAACCCTAGAAGCAGGGTGTTATGGTGATATTTATTTAACGAAGACAGAAATACGTGGTCCAAGAATGAAGGTACTCCGTGAGATGATCAGCTGAGTTTTATTGCAACAACAGGAAACACAGAGAACCTGGCCTGTCTCTGTGCCTCTGCTTCTCTCTGTCACTCCAGTCCACACTGCTGTTCTACTCTGTTGAACCCTGTGTCTTGAGAGGCCTCATATATCTATTAACAAACACCATTCTGTCATCTTAGCAAGATTTGATACAAGGTCAACGGAAAACACAAAGATAAACACAAGTGATATCTAAGAATGACTGTTGTTAGCCAATCTTGTTCTGACTTTAATCATTCTATCTGCAGATGAACAGCATGCCATGAAAACCTAGGTCATTAAAGGATGTCATGAATTATTTGCTTGAACATAAAGTATTAGTTCTATTACACAGGGCATTTTGCACGAGTTAGAATGCTGGTTTGGTAATATCATAATATTATCTGCATCAGGACATCACTAATCTCATGGCCATGAGATTATTTTGAGCAGCCGAATTGAGTATCTCTTGCTAAAGACCCTGTCATACACTGAAGATGGAATTGAAAAAAATCAACAGGAAGCTTCTTTGCGGYGTGTACATAATGTAATCCTAACAAATTTATCAAATATACAACTTTTATTTGCAATTTTTCTTCCCTTGTGTGGTTTTTAGTTTTTCTGTTAAGGGTAGCACCTCCTCATGATGTCTTCATGAAGACGGTCCTTGCTCTGTGCAGGGTCTGTGGCTGCATGACCCAGGGCACCTGTTCTCCCATGTTTGTTATGTTCTGTCTTCTTCTTAATGGGTGTTCTGAACTGTAATTTCATTGTGCTCTCTGTACGATGACAATAAAAGGTCTCTCTAATCTAATCTAATTTAGAGGAAAAAAATACAAATAATTGTGACACAGATGCAGTTGGGTTTGCTGGTAAATAATTGATTTGTTAGGATAGACGGGGCTCAGTCTAGTGTTAACTCTACGTTGGACATTGATTATTATTTTTTATTCAGTGTGACCAGATGGGCTCTGTAGCATTGTCAGTATAGAGGGCCAAGTTGATTTTTTTGGATTGAGTCACTTTTTTTGGAACTACACTTCCAAATGACCAGAATATCTCYTGGAACAAATTGCAAGTAACCCTACCCAGTCAAGTGTCTGTTACGTTTATTTAACTTCATTATTCACATATCTGCACAGAGAAGAAGGTAAAAACCCGTAYAAGCCAACTGTCTGTTTTATTAACTACTTGGTTTATCTCAAAATGCTTCAACAATGATGAAAAACAACAAAAGCTCACGCAAACAAACAGCACAAACAGTATGTTTTCATTAAACTGTGCTAACGTGTAACATAATTGACAGATGTATTGAATATTTCACTTTTATGTACAAGTCCTGCACTTCACAGTCAAATCAAATGAAACCCTATAACAGCATTTAATTAGGTTCACATAAATAATAATAAAAAAAGTCTTTACATCTTAAAGTCTGTAAAAAATGTATTTAAATAAAAGTGCCAAAAAGCAATACTGCTATAAAAACAATGCCATAAAATAACTGAAAAATTCTGAAATCTCAGTCCATTTTCCTAACTTTTCCAAAAATTAAAGTTCCCTAAGTGCAGATTGGTAGAGATCAACTTAATACACAGATAAAATTAATGGCTGTAAATCACATAGTTTAGCGTTAACATATTGACAAATTGGACACACACACACAAAGTAAAATAATACTTTTAAAGCTGCCTAAAAGTACATACAACCCAACATAAATGTGTGTACAAATTAGCTTAAACAAGAACTTGGCATTTAATATGGTTRTGTTTGAAATGAAACATGTATTTGGAAAATTAAATAGCAAGAAATATCATAGCGTAGCTATAGTTAGTTAAACTGAACAACTTTGTATTTATCTCTAAAAAACAAAAATCGATGCCAGTTTCAGTGTCTTCCTGTTTGTGCTTCTTTTACAATAAAGTGGTGTAAAATATTGATACGGGGAGAAACCATCACCTTAAAAGACAGCATAGCTTAGCTTAAACAAATCAGCCTAAAAGCAACATTTTTGATGTCCGTTGTCTGTGGTTGAGTTTGATTTTTAGTGAAAATATTTCTTCTGGTGTTACATTACAAAGAAATACATTTATTTTTTTTTAAAAACTGCTTTCAATTAGTTAGCATAGCCTAGCCTAGCCTAGCCTGAGCAATTATTTGGTGAAACTAGCATGTTTTCCAGTAGATATATAATTTTATATAAACTGCATTATCTGTGACGCTACCAAAAACAATTATGAGTTTATTTTAGATTTGGTAAATACCTTCACTGAGACATTAAAACTRAAGAAGAATCTAGAAGTTGGTTGGCTTTAAAACATGTAAAAAAATTGAAAATGAACCTTGCCTTTTGTGCCTTTTCTACTATGAGATCCATAATTTGTAGTATWTTTACAAATAAAGAGGCAAAATTTTCCTTCAGCCATGTAAGAAGTGAAATGATGAGGAAAAATAAAATCTGTACAAAATAAATGATTTAAAAGAAAAGTTGCCTTCAGACTTGGTTGACCTTGTGTCCGGTCTTGAGTGATAAATGTTTACTGGCATTGTGCATCTAGCCATTTAAGTTCTGACAATAAATTATTCATCCAGTCCAAAAGCTGAAGCAGGCAATTGGGCTTGTGACTGCGCAGCTACTGCTCCAGCACGAATTCAAATGCAAAATTCAAATGCGGTCGCCGGAGGACGAAGTGGTCCAAGGTCAGTCGGTTGGCTCTCCGAGCGTTTATCGCCCCTGCTGAGCAACTGGAGAAAAGGAGCGCAGTTTCAGTCAACCATCACTGGAGTGGAAATGTGGTGCTTTGAAGATAGAGGACAAAGAAAGAAAGAAAAAAAAAGAGCRTCTTCCTCTGACACTCATGTTTACTCCCTTTTGTTGTGAATCCATTATGCCCTGGTCTTCCTCACCACTCACAGCAGCAGAGGAAGGAGCATGACGACCCCTCAGGGCCACGGAACTTGCCGGAGCTGGGCGTGTCGGCGCATTGTGCGATGAACGCGTGCAGGTCGGTCATCCGGACCTGCTCCTGTGTTTGGGCCTGTTGAAACACGAGATGAAGCTGCTCAAACACAAGAAAGTCTGTTCTTGTCCCAACTATTAACAACCAAGAGTGTGGCTTCAAAACAAAGCAGGAAAAGAATGGACGACCGTACCATGATGGTGTCGTAGGCTCCGGTGATCAGGGCGATGAAGAGGGACAGCACCATGTAGATAAAGAGGGAGATGAAGGTGTAAAGGTAGACCTGGCTGAAGATCCACACCAGAGGGCTGCTGTGCTCCATCTCAGCAAACGTTACGAACATGTCGTCTCCATTGATGAGGGAAAACAGGCACTCTGACACCATGGACAGGGAGCGAAACTGTGCGCAAAGAAACCAGGAAAGACACACTTTGGGTTAAGTCCTTTCCAAGCTACATCTTGAGCTAGTGTGTGTTTGATTTATCTATGACTAGTTACTTAAATCAAATTGTTTATAAGTAATGAATCTACACAAGGAACRCAGGTGGTTGTGTTGGGAAGGAAGCTCAGCTACTACCACATTCCACATCATTCTTCAGTTTATGTGTATTTTTTAAAGATATTTTCCCTATTAAACCCTCAAATTGTTCTTTGGGAAAGGTATTTTTCCCCTCTTAGGACACCCAAATTATTTTTTTTTACTTTTTTCTTTTTAATTCCAGCCCGAAGGTTTTAGAAGACCTACCACGCCACCCTGTCAAATCCTGTTGCCAGCGAAGAGGATATGATTTTGGCTAAGCTTGTTCAAGTTAGCCATAAAGCTTTTTGATTTATTACTTTTTTTATTTCTAAAAACTTTACTCGTTCTTATATCAGTTTGTTTTGTTTTTCTTTTACTGTTCCAGAGACACTGGGTTGATGTAGCCATGTCAATTCACCAACAAGGCCATGTTTGTGGTCAAAACTGCACAATTTGCTCACAGTTGGCCTCTTTATATGGATAACTTTCAGCCTGTATGCATGTGGATCTATTGTTTTGTTCCAAATTTTTACTTGCGTACAACCCAAGTGTGTTTTTGCCCTTTACACCTGAACTAATCTCATTTAAATCTAATCTCAACTAACACCTRCAGAGGTTAGACAATGAAACTGAAACACCTGGTTTTAGACCATAACATCCCTTTCAGACAGCTTCCTCTTGCGTCCACAGTTAATCCTGTTGGATGTGGTTGGTCCTTCTTGGTGGTATGCTGACATTACCCTGGATACCGTGGCTCTTGATACATCACAAAGACTTGCTGTCTTGGTCACAGATGCAACAGCAAGACGTGCACCAACAATTTGTCCTCTTTTGAACTCTGGTATGTCACCCATAATGTTGTGTGTATTGCTATATTTTGAGCCAAACTGTGCTCTTACCCTGCTAATTGAACCTTCACAATCTGCTCTTACTGGTGCAGTGTGCAATTAATGAAGATTGGCCACCAGGCTGGTTCAATTTAGCCATGAAACCTCCCGCACTAAAATGACAGGTGTTTCAGTTTTATTGTCAAACCCCTGTATGTAGTTTGTTGACTGGGATGAGAGCATTGCCTTGACAGCATCCTGCAGCAGTAAATCTGAAAGTGGAGCACCACCTAGTGGGCTACTATAAATATTAGAAGTAGAGATAGATGTAGAACAAATCTGTAACTAAAAGGAAGCAATAATTTTAAAAGATGGATATGGTATCAAAAAATGTGTTTGTAAAATTCTAATTAATAGAGTGTATATAATCTATTGGTGCCTTCCATTTACATCGTATTCCCAGAACTGGTAAATGGTAGTGACGTAATTTCCCAACAAACCACATGAAACTGCATTCCAGTTAGTCGACAGGTGATTGTATTGCTTCCGCTAACCTAGCTACAACACTGCTACAATATAAACAATGACAAAACGAGAGCTCTGCTACGTATGTCATGCAAATAAACACTGATTTTAACATGAACAGCACTGCACAGAAAACACACTACCGGGACTTGTGTGAGTGATTAAACATGCACAAAAAATTAAGAAAGAAAATTAACATTGAATGTTATAGAGTTAACTTTCTAAAGCTGCGAGTTAGCCACGATCTTGAAATCAAAACTGGTGGCAGTTTCATTTCTTCCACTATACCAGTGGAATATTACCACTGGAGGGGGCGTTCCAGTTTAAATCTACCAGTGGGAACAGGGAAATTACCACTTCCCAAGTCTACTGGAACGCAGCATATCTAATGTATATAAAAATGTCAGAAAGCTGTGTGAGTTATGGATGAACCAACAGAAGAGAAACAGGAGAACGTTTCTCATTTCACAAGCAGATTTTATCTTATTTACCTCAAAGTGGATGTAATCTGACCAGAACTGAAGCTAATAATGTAACTGTTTGAATTTAAAATAAGATTACAGTATAAAGCCAATGTAATCACTGCTAATTATTGAATTGRTTAGCAAGATATTAGCTTCTGAGGATAGTTATACAGAGCGTATAATTATGCTACAATTTTAAAAAATCAAATATTACAATTTAGTGTTGCCTCTGATTTATGTAAAATTTACAGTGTAAAATAATATTTTATATTTGACTATTTTTAGGTTTATATCAGACAAACTTGACCAGTTAAAAAAATGCTTAGTTAATATCAGTAGAGACAAGTTTTACCCTCAAGTGTTGCCTCTGATTTATGTAAAATTTACAGTG